TAACGGTGTGGCATCCAGAGCTCTCGGAGAAAAAGCAAGAAATAGAATGCGAGAGAAATCTGACCACAACAACTCCAAGGGATTAAATAAAAATTCTTATGGCTTTCTGGAATCTCACACTGCATATTCTTGGAAATGAGCACGCCATAGGCAAATGCTAAGAATCTTTTATGATAAAGATACTCGCATTGTAATGTAACTGTTGTTATAGGATTTGACCTGAATGGGAGAAGAAACTAAACAGAGCTTTCTCAAGAGCGGTCTTTGAGGATGGATGGCGCTAAATTCCCAGGGGAAACAGTGGCTCTAATGAAACTTTAAAGACTCCCAACCCTCCCGTAAGGAGTTCTTGTTGGAGAACTAGAGAGACAGGGACAAACACATGTGGACCGTAACAGTGCACTGGCTTCAGAGGCCAAGGGATGAGAGCACAGGTCCCGGCTGTTCCACTAACTGCTGTGTGAACTCGGGGGAAGCCAGTTATGATTTCTGAGCCTTAATGTTCCCATCTATGGAATGGGGATTGAGGAACCCTAACCTAGAATTACCGAGAGGAGAGATGTTTGCAGAAACACCAGCCACAGGCCTTGGCACATAGTAAGTTCTCAATCAACACTAGTCCTTCCTTCTTCTCTCCTGATACCAGCATTTTTTAGACTTTATTTCTTTATTTACTTAGAGGTAGGAGGGGCAGAAGAACGGAAGGGGGGAGAGAATTTGAAGCAGACTCCATGCTGAGCACAGAGCCTGATTCAGGGCGTGGTGTCACGACCCTGAGATCATGACCTGAGCCTGAAATCAAGAGGCTCTTCACTGACTGAGCCACCTGGGCCCTGATAGCAGCATTTTTCATGCAATTTTCTAACCATAATAAAAAAAAATGTTTTAATTGCCTCAGTGGAAAATACTGTGTCTTCTGGTCCATGAGGTATGGTGGGAAGATTCCTGGAAGTTCTACTTCTGCTACTTACAAGTCAGAGCATCTCTGGGCCTGCCTCCTGGGCTGCCTCCTACACTCCGCCACCAGGACGGTAACAAGAATGGAAAGAGACAATGTATGCGAAAGCACTCAGAAAACCCTGACGTGCTCTACAGAGGAAAGACCATGCCGCCATGTTAGCACAGTTCACAGAGAGTTGTCTGTGTCATTCTGCCTATGGGGACCCCAGACTGTGGAGATCCGGCCCACGTGTGAGCCAACACCACAGAAAACCAACCCTGGAAGGAAAGAGATGAGCCAGCTGCAGAGGTGGGGCTGGGAAATTCGGCAAACAATCCAACTTCAGCTCTCCAATCAGATGGAAACAAAGGGTAAGCTCGTCGGCAGAACTGTTTGGGTCCTTTCTGAAACTTACGTTGTTGTGAAGGGTTCTAGAGCAAGGGGACTACGTGGAGAGAACAGGGAATCCATCGGGGTTCACTTCTTGGTAGTCAAGGAAGGAAGACATGAGAGACTGCAGGGAGAAGTATTCCAGAGGCCGGAGAGGTAGACAGCACAGCAGAACAAGTCCATGATTCTTTCAGAATAAAGTCACGATCAGAATCATCATCCAGGCCAACTGGTCCCCCCATCTTTGGTTCTATTATCATCCACACAAATCGCAACGATAGTTACCGTCATTATTAGCGACTGCCATTTCTGAACACTGACCATTTACTGGGCACTGGGCTAAGAGCTGTATCTGCCTCTGGTCACTTCATCTTCCCCACATCCCCTCTGCAAAGAGGGCCCCATTATGGCACCCATTTTGCAGATTGGCAAATAGAGATTCCAATTATCCACTTGGAAAATCCTCCTTAAGAATCCTTAATCCAAAAATCTTGAAGATCAAAGAAAGGATCTGAAGGTCAAGGAGATTCCAGTCTCTCAGACAGGCTCTCCCTTGCTGTGTATGAATCAAAACTTCTCTTTCTCATGCTCAATAAAGCACAGAGAACACCAAAGCAGCCAAGAGAAGATGGGTCCGTCGCTCATAAACCTTGAAGATGGACACAACAGCCCTCGTCCCCAGCCTCCTTCGTGACGGACAACTTGGCCTTAACATCACTGGTTCCTTTTCTGGCCTGAGGAGGAAGCTGGCATGAGTAATGCGAGAGCAGCTTAGAAGTGGGGGACAGCCGAGCCAATCAGAACAATCCGGGCAACCTGACACCAGTACAGTGGGTGATGATTTCACTTCCTGCTTCTTATTCTGTACAGAGGGGACAAGAAAAGCCTTCTCAGCCATCACCCTAAAAAAAAAAAAAAAACAAAAAAAACGAAAAAGCCGCCAAGCCAGGGTTTGGCAATTAGTGTTGGAGTAAGTGATCATCTTGTGATTGCTCAGCTGGGGCCTGAAGACTCGTAACCGCATTTAGAGGACAGAAATAGAAGAGGCTGAGAGAGAGCAGAGAAACCTGGCCCATTTGCCAGGAGAAAGATGTCCTGACGCTGCCGGGAAATTCACTCTGTTGGGATTGGGGGCGTGTCTTCGTTAAGCGGGAGAAGTTCATAAATAAACCCATCGATGAAGCCAGTGCTTACCCCTTGACCTCTTCGCTCCTCTGTGACCCTCAGGCTCCCCTGGAAACCCCACGGAGCCTAGGGGAGCCCCTGGACAGGTGCTGAATTTCTCCTTCCAAGCTGAGCATCCTAATGGCCCCTGATGTACAACCAGGCCCAAACTGGGGGTAGATGGATAGTAAACCGTCCTTCTTGCCAACAGCAGCTACTTTGGCAAAAGCTGGCCCATGCTTCCGGGAGAAGACAGAGCCCGAGGTCACGGGCAAGTTCACAGTCATCAACAGAACTACTCCAACCAGACCCCCCTCGGCCCCCTAAACCTTGAGAATCTCGCAAAGCCCCATCAACCTGTCACTGCCACCAGCCCCCAGACCCTGGATCAATCCCAAGGAGATGTGGGTCACAGCCTTCTTCTAGGACTTCAAGGGTAAGTCAAGGGAATGTTCCAGGACATTCCATTTCAGAAACACCTGAAACCCAAGATGTATCCCTGCTCCCACTTTTGCGACCCAAAGAAACATGACGGATCTCAAAGTCCCCTGGACTTCCCCAAGAGCTGCGGGTGACACAGTGCCTTGTAAGCCTCTAGGTCACAAGCACCCAGCCACTGTCCTTGAGCAAAGGGGACAGAGCTTCTCCCATCTGACAGCTTCTCTCCCCCATGACCCTAGCCCACAAACTGGCCTTCCATGTGTCCTATTCTGCCCACGCAGCCGTTTCATTTGGCCCATGGGGTTGAAGGGTTTTGTTTTACATTGCCAAGCATTTAAAACTTGAGGGGTTTCCCCAGACCTTTAGCTCTTCTTGAAAGAACAGTAAGTCTGGCAGCACGAGGCCCCACATCCACCTAGCAGTGATCAGCTGGCTGCCCCTTCCGCAGGGGACATGTGGTCCCCAGACTCCACTGTCCCCACCTGACGGGCCAAGGGCACTTAGCTCTGTGAACTCCGTATGAGTCAGCATGAAAAGAAAGACTCTTCAGAGGTCAGAAGAGTCTTCCCCCGGGGTATTTTACATTGAAATTCAAATCCCCCCATAAAATAAACACCTGGAACATCTGGTCCAAGGCCCTCCTCTGGTCCCAGCCACGCCTCCCGCTGCAGAGAACACACACCTGGACACACTCACCACAGACGCTCGCCTTGCGGAGATGGGGGCGACCGCTGCATGACACAGTTGGGAGGGAGGACTGAAGCGGAGACTTCGGGCCCTGGGCGAAGGCCTTATGGCGTGTGCCATTTCCAGACGGAGGAAAGGAGGTGTAGCACAAAGAAGGGTGGCCATACTGATAAATGCACACACACGCACACACACAAACCCACACACACACCAAGCACTGAGCCTGAGAGCACACAGAGAACAGCGGGTGAGGCCAGGACCCGTAAAAAGAACCACTCCTCCCACCACAGTCCTCCAGAAGGCCCTTCTCTCTCGCCCTCCCCTGCCGCTACTTTCTGAGAGCTTTCCTAGGGGTCTCCACGTCTTCACAGGAGAGGCCCATCCAGCGGGCTGTCCTTCCGACGGCGAAGGCCGAGTGCCTCAGCCAGTACAACGGTCACACGGACAGAGGAAAGACTCACCAGTACATCATTGCTCCATTTTTTCACCCCAAATACAACAGACCTCCTCTCCTTCCCCACCTGGTCCCTGCAGAATCTCTCCTCTCTCAGGGAAGGTGCCCAGTGGATGTCCAAGATGGCCACCATCCTGGAAGAAGGGGTGACCAGAAAGCAAGCACAGCGGGTTGACGTTCCCCTGACCAGCTCCCCCGGCTTCCTCTCAAGCCCACATTCTCCCCAGGACATGGCCGTCCTCCCACTGAACCTCACGGTCCTCATGGAGAGCAAGGCCTGGAGAGAAAGCAGCGAGCTCATGTGAGTCTGCCCCACAGGTGCTACCCTGAAGAGGCCCCTCCGCCATCAGACATGGAAGGGAGGGGATGGGGGTAGGGGAGAGATGTGCAGACAAGAATCCTACCCGGAGCCATGTGGCCTGGAATCTGTCCCAAACAAATCTGTGTGACCTCAGGTAAAGGGGTCTCCATTCTCAGACCCGCTCTCCAATGAACCCAGAACCTACTCAGACATGGCACTTGGTCCGGCCCAGCCTTCCCTCTTCTGCCAACTGTACCCAACAAACAGCGGCACATAGACACACACTTTGGGACCCAAAAATGGTCTCAGAGGTGTAGCATTCACATCCTGGATGAGAGGGATTTCTCACCACTAACATTCCCATAAAATCGCGAATGAAAAGTGAACAACTCTGGGAGTCAGGAGGCTCTAAGCCCTGGTTTAGGCTCATCCTTCTGACAGGAACCCTAGAGATGCTCAAATCCCAAACACTCATTTTTAAGAGGCAAAGTCTGAGGCCCCGGCACACAGTGATGAAGCCAGGCCTAGACCCCAGGTGGCCAGCTGGCTCCACTGCCCAGCGCCCTCCCTGCTGTGTGCCCCCCCCACCCTCTCCCTGAAGCCCAGGACCCAGGTCTACTCACATGTAGCGCAAGTGGGGGTTCTTGGCAAAGGCTCTGGGCTGGATGCTCCGAAGTCCTGAGTTCTTGATGGTCCTGGAGAGAGAGAGAGAAACAGGGTCAGCAGGGCTTCCGGAGCTGAGGGACATCTGCTCTGGGTTGAGGCTCACAGGAGGTCATGGGCCGCCAGCTGGGCCGGTGAACTGAACGCAGTTCCCCATCATCAGCATTGCAGGGTGTCCCCCAGACGGCATCTGGGCTCACCCCCAATGGGGACCTGGGTGAGGGTTTGGGATGAGCTGGCAGCTGTCCTCTCCCCATCCTGGCAACAGGGCTCCTGCTCAAGAATCGGGCCCAGCGGCTACAGGGCTGCAGCCTCCACTCCCTTCCCTACCCTAAGCCCCCCACAACCACTAGCGCTGAAATCCCAAAGGAGGAGGAGTGGGCTGGGGGATTTTGCAGGCTACGGGGACCATTCGTCAACCAGGAGTCTGAGGTGAGATCACTAGCCAAGAGGCCTGGGTTCGGGTCCTGCCCCGAATCCCTAACTACAGGTGGGACCACACAGCCCTCCAGTCTTCTGGGCTGAGGGGAAATGAGGGAGAGTGAGGGGGTGGCCTTTGAAGCCCCGGGCAGTCCCTAAGTGGGTGGTACTGGCTCGATTAAAAAAGGAATGGAGGAGGGAAGTGCCCAGGGCAGTCCAGGGACAGCGGGCGCCCCCCACCCACCACCTGTGGCCCCTCCCGTGGCCGGGTGCACTCACAGCTTTTGGAGGCCGGTGTAGAGCTCCATGTCCACAGCATTCAGCGTGTGCAAACCTCGCCAGTTCTCTATGTGTCTGCAGGGGAGGAGGAAAGACAGGGTTCAGGTCGGCCAGGGTCCACAGGAAAGGTACTGTCTCTAGAGCCAGAGACCTGGGCTCGAATCCTGGATCACCCACGTGCAAGCCAGGCCTTCTGCCACATGGCCAAGTGTCCCCAAGCCTCTGTTTCTCCCTCCACAAGGGGCCTCATGTACCACCCACCTGGGGCAATCGGCATGAGACCCAGAGCACCTGGCCCGGGGACCACATTTAATGTCCCCTCTCTGCTCCAGAAAGCTCTCCTTTTTAAAGACTCGAAACCCAGCTTCCCCTTTGGTCTTCACAACTCAGCTTCCTTCCACTCGCTCTTGTTTTCCTTTTGGGGACTTCCTAAGGACAGCTCATTTTCTCAGCAGTCCAGGAAGGCAACACAAATGATGTGGGTTTGAAAAGGGAGAGCGGGAGGGTAGCTTGACGGTGGCTATAGTTTTTGAGTGAAAAAGCTCAGAAGGAGCACACACCCACTTCAGGGGCCCCCAGGGTCCAGACACTGACCGCCTGGTTCCGGTGGCCACAGCCCAACCCGCCTGGAGTTCAAGAACACAGATAGCTTGATTGGGCAGATCCAAGTCCAGAAAGGAGGGGACTGGCTGGGGACCAGAGAGGCACTACGGTGTCACAGAAGCAAGGTGAGACCTAGGATCCCAGCTCCGGCTTCAACTCTGGGACCCAAAAACCAGAGGCTTTGAGCGAGAGCTCTGACCTCTCTGGGCCCCTTGTGTCTTCATTTGCAAAGGGAAAGGGTTTCACTAGATCAGCAGCTTCTCTCCTTCCCGTTACAAGGTCTCCGTTTAGAGCTTTCTCCCAAGACACCTCCTGCTTAAGGAGGCTGGTGTTGAGCAGGGACACTATACACTTATTAAGTAATAATTAATTTCTCTTCTAGGATTTATTGATCGAAAATATAAATCACCATTCACCAGAGCTTTTTATCAACAGATATAAACCAGCACTAACTCTCCCAGTGGATAATCAGGTCTGGCCCTGAGCAAAGGAACTCAAAAGTTCTATAAGCAGAAGAGCTGGCTTGTCCTAGGTTTGATTACTGCTCTTTTTTTTTTTTTTTTTTTTTTTTTGGATATTGACAAAATGCCAGAAACAAACAACCTCCATTATAGCTCTTAGGGTCCCCAGGTTGATAACTATCCGGCCACTGATCTGTTAAGGCCCTTCCCAACTCCAGAGCTGTGTGAGACGTTACCACTCCTCCCCATCTCTATCCCACAGAGCTCCCAGGGGCCTCAGGAGAAGGCCCTCTGCTGCCCACCATGCCCTCCCGGGACCCGACACTCCCATCATCGGTGGTCACTCTCCACGGATGTCAAAGTACCCTCTTCAGTCATCCTGCCACGCAGCCATCCGAGGCACACTGAGGCCAGAAAAGCAGCAGCTGCCTTCCCCAGACACCCCCTCCTTGGCCCCACCACACCTGTGGCTCTTCCATCTGACACCGAGGGAAGCCAGAGCCAGGAAGGCCGCGGGCTGGTGGTGGCCAGGGCCCCTGGAAGCATTTCAAAGCAACACAGTGACAAGGTACGCGGAGAACCCATTTTGTTCTACATTCTCTCGGGCCCCCCGCTGAGCAGCCAGACACACTGGCATCTGCTGGGGACAGGGACCAGGTGGCCAGGTCGGGACTGAATTCCAAGACCAAAGTCTTCTCCCTGGAAGCCTCTCAGCCCCAGGGCGGTTTGCTCGGTCTGGTCCTGCCAGGGCAGGGCCCCTGGCACCACGTCAGGTGACAAGGAATACCAGGAGGAGTAAAATGACCTGCGCCAGTGCCCCCCACGTGTGTTCACTGGGCCAGCGGTCCAGGCAAACCACCAAGTGAATGACGCTATCCTACAGACGACCATGCATTCCCAGGAGCCCGGCCCCAGACTAGGATCTGCTTCCGACAAGCAGCCGTCGATCAGTTGTTTAAGTAAATGAAATTGTTTTCCTTCGCCCCCATCAGAAGCCCGTAAACGTGTTTATATTTATGGCCGAGTTGTCAATCATCGGTGTATTGTATCGGTTTACCGTTCTTAGCCCTCGTGTCCTGAGGGCCCCACACCTGCCCGTCCGACGTAGGCTCACTTGGAGACGCAGCGGGACAATGAATGAACTCTTTGGTGCAAAAGGCTCCCTGGTCAAAAGACCCGGGCCCCTGCCTCCGCTGTTGGGTCTGAGGCTCCCCGCAGGGGGGAAGAGCCTTTGCACAGCCGCTGTGCCATGGCGCGGTGAAGAGCCTGGGCTCTCCCGAGCCCAGTCGACAAGCTACATTCTGCAGGCCAAATCCAGTCCACCACCTGTCTTTGTACAGCCTGAGGGCTAAGAATAGTTTGTACATTTAAAAAAAAAAAAATCAAAAGCAGAATCCTAATTTGTGACATGCGAAAATTATATGAAATTCAAATTTCAGTGTTCATATCCATTCAGTGACTGGTCTGTAGCTGCTCTTGTTGGACAAGGACGGAGCTGAGCTTAGGCAGCGCGGCAGAGACCCGCCTTTTATAGAAGAAACTTGCCAGCCGGGCCCCCTCCCCGCCGCCTCCAGCCAGGCTTCCAGGACGCACATCCTGGCCCCGTCGCTACCTTTGTCCACGTGTGACCCCGTCCAGGGGACATCACCTGTCTATGCCTCAGTTTCCTCATCCGTCAGATGGGCTAATAAAATACCCCCCCCCCCAGGGTAAGAGTGACGCGAGACTTGAAAGGCCCCGTTAAAAAGCCCGGACAGAACGGCAGCTCGGGACACATAGTAAGTCCTCAGGGAGCGCGAGCCGGGACGGTTATTTTTAACCCTGTGCTTTGCAGAAACTGAGCAGTCTTTTCTCAGTTTTCGAGCTAAAAATGGCATCGCGGTTCTGCTGGAAGTTGTCATTTCTCAGCAATCATTGATAAAAACTCCATGTGGCAGGCGCGTGGAGGGGCAGTAAGTCTGTCATTCATGACCTCCAGGAAAACTGCTCGAGCAGAAATGAGGAACAGGTTCGGGGAATGCACAGCCGGCAGCCCAGGACGGCTTCTGAGGCGAAGGTGCAGCCTGTCATTTGCTGATGACATCGGCGGGCCACCTGCCAAGTCTGCCGGTGACTCACCGAGCGGTGGCTCGGTACCAGCCCTGGGGGTCAGCTGTGAGATCTCAGTGGGCTGCTGTGTGCTACAGGTCTAAGTGGGGAAGGCAGGCTCTAAAAACATAACAAATGGGATAAATATGACCGTAGGTTTGGTTTGCCTTTGTTCGTGGTGAACAGTAGTTACCTTGACCTCTAGCATGTGGTTTCTCCCTCTATTGAGCTTTTCTGGATGTCGGGGCTGTCTTCCCTGAGCACTTAATGTTGTCACTTCAAAAGCAATCGATGATGATCATTGTTTAGAGGAAGGTTCGGCACGTGAACCCTGTGGGGGGCCGTTGCTGGTCACCCCCGTTCCAGGACCACAGGCTGTGCCGGGAGGAACCCATCTCGCCGTGGGAGAGGAGCTCAGAGCCATGCGGGGAGCTCAGGTCCGTGTGGGGCTGCCAGATTCTACATTCGTCCGCTCGGGCACAGAGCACGGCCCCACGGGGATCTGCACTCTTGTTCTCGGTCTGCGTGCTTTCCTCGGGAACAGGGAGGGGCGGGGGCAGACAGGAGGCTCCCATCCTGACTGAAGCACCCCACCTGAGTCACCTCTCAGACAGCGGCGCTCAGCAGGGGGTCATCCTGCCCCCCAAGGGACACTGGGAAATGTCTGCAGATGTTTTTGGTGCTCACAGCTGGGAGGAAGGGAAGGATGCTGGCATCTCATGGGCAGAGGCCAGGGATGCTCCTAAAAAAATCCACAGGTGCCTAGGACAGACCCCACAACAGACAATAACTGGCCCAGAATGTCCACAGTAGGGAAGCCCTGCCTCATGTAAGGCTTATTATGCCTGAAGATGACTAGTGAAGACTGCATTCCATGGCTTGAAACAGCAACAGTTCTGAAAATGACTGCTTTGGGGGCACCTGGGGTGGGGGGCTCAGTTAGCAAAGCATCTGCCTTTGGCTCAGGTCATAAGCTCCAGGTGCTGGGGTCAAGTCGGCTTTCCCCCTCTCTCTGCCCCTCCCCCCACTCGTGCACATTCTCTCTCTCCTCAAATAAATTATTTTTTAATCTTTTTTTTAAAAAATGACTGCTTTGCAGCAAACCCTAAGAGGCACCAGCCCAAAACCAAAAAACCTGCCTCTATAGGTCCCTGGGTCCAGGTGAGAGGAGAACATCAAAAGCTATCCCAGACCCCCCGACAAGTCAAGGGCATTCCTTGAGAGGAAACGAGGGGCTCTTTGGTGCACTGGACCATGGGCCAAGCCAGGTTACACATCCCAGAAGCAATAATGTTCTCCTCCCGCCCAGCTTGGCTGGAACCCACTGTCAAGAGGCCCCACTGCCACCCCCACCCCCACCCCCACCCCCACTGAGAGTTCCTCTTCCACATGGCTTACTCCTGCTTCGCAACGGGAACTGCCCCATCCAAGGAGTTAACTCTGTGCCCCGTCCCTCCCCTCTGACCACTGCCCTTCCCGGAATCACAACTCTTCACCAAGAGCAAATGTGCCGCACTTTTCCAGAGAGGCGGGAGGAAGGGAGGCTTAATTCACGGCAACGTTGAGCCACCAAGCCAGAGCCTGGCTTCGGGCTACATCTCCGAAAATCTCAGTGGGGTCTAGGTGAGCCTCTGTGGTCAAAGAACACGCCGCTGTCAGGTGGGCCGAGGTGTGCGGGAGCCGAGGGACCCTGCCTGTGCCCAGCGTCTTCGGGAGCAGGAGGAAAACCACCAGAAATGAAGCCACTCGCAGTGACTCCCAACGACAGGACCCGGTCCTGGAATCACAGATCGCTGCTTCCCCACCCATTCCAGGGATGAGCTAGAGCACAAGTGAAATATTAATTAAAACATCCAGGGAAGAGATAAAAATCCTTTGTACTAGAATAAATTCGACTGTGCTTTTGTACCATCGCTTTCTTCC